TGGCTGGCTTTCCCACCATATGCTGATCCACAAACTAATCAACCTGATTTTAGCTCTTTCTAATGTGTGGGGTGAACGTATCCTTACAGTACCAGTAGAAGCACACAGAAAGTTTATAAGCAGGACAGAATGGTCATAATTTTCCACTGTTGCACTAGATCACCTCCAGAGATCATTCTGGAGCTTGATCTTCCATGAATTCATCTGGTCTTCTTTGAAAGTCACCTAAGATGGTGGCTGTCACCCCACCAATTCCATATTATCTCTGCCTCGGGTAAAGATGTCCTCCTTTATTTGGTCACAAATCTACCCTCAGTAAGTTTCAGAGAATGTACTTGAGTTCTGTTAATATTCAATACATAATAAATAATATTATTTTTTTAAAAAATCATTTTTAAAGATTCGCACTGCTAATACTGCACAGAACGAGGAAGAGGCAGAAGAGGAAAAAAACAAGATAAAAGGGCTGCATATTTTGTCGCATAAAGTTTAGTTCTTAATCATATTTTATTGGTTCTTCCTGGCAGAACATGGTGCTGTTGATATTATGTGAGAGAAATGCAAGGCTGTTCTTTATAAGGGAGAACCTTAGTTTTTTGTATTCAGTTGCTCTACTCTCAAGTTTCTTTCTAACTGTCTGTAATATTTTCGTATGCTCAAGGCACTTATATTGGATGTTTTGGCGACGACTCAAGAAAAAGGACGCTGAAAGGAGCTGTGTTCTATGACTTGAGAAAAATGACCATTTCCCATTGCCAAGAAGCCTGCGCTGAGAGGTAAAAAATAAGAAAAAGAAAAAAAGGAAGTATTTGATTTCTTGTGCATGCTGTTTCTCCTATAGTGTTCAGAATAGCAATGGACAAACCAGTCTAACATGAATGAGTCCCTGTTTTGTATATATTGACTCTCATGCTGGTCAGTGGTATGTGGGAATGACCTTGGGAGACAGGAGGAGTAACCGCAGACTGGGCAATGGTCAGATAAGAGGCAGCCGAGCCAGCAGAAGCAATGAAGGGGGGTGGGGGAAAGTCTCAGAAGGGACCCTTTCTAGTTTCTTGGACTGTAAAGGCGAGGGGGGAGAAATGTACTTTCAGACTTGCAAGATTTTGTTAATGCAACCTTACAGTAAAGATAGAGCTAGTACTTCTGGGTGTGCTTCTTGTCTGAAAGTACATCTCCCCCCCCTCGCCTTTACAGTCCAAGAAACTAGAAAGGGTCTCTTCTGAGACGTTTGCCATGCCCCCATTCCTTCTGCTGACTCAGCTGCTGTTTGTCCAACTGTTGCCTAGTCTGTGGCCCTGTCTCCTATCTCCCAAGGTCATTCCTACACACTATTACACAGCAGCATTGGCAAAGAGGGCCAACAGCCTCAAAATGGTGGGTGTGATTGAGCCATCAACGCCCTGCCCAATGTGGGTTGCAAGCATTGCATGCATGTAGGAAGCTCAGGTTTTGATCAGCTGTTGGCCTCCTGAGGATGTTCCTGTAGCTACAAGTAGCATTTAATTTTTCCACTTTCAATTATTTTTGCGTGCAACTTTCCTGAGTGTCCACACTTTTGCATGGAAGTTTAGAATCAAAAACTGCATCACTAAATTTAGAGAAAATAATTCTGTTTTGATCCTCACATGATTCAGCAGGTATAACGGAGACCAAAGAAAGCCAAAATCTGTTCTCTTTTGTTCCAGCATGCAGGACATGAAATCCTGGTCTTTAGTCGCAAGAAGGCAGACTGTAGCTGAATGTTAAGAAAAAACAATAATTCAGCAAGGGATGGGCTTAAATGGATGTATTCAGGGACAGGCTCATTCTTAGCCGCTGCCTAGTGGCTGTCTGGATTTTGGCAGTCCAAATATTTCTTGGGTGAAGAGTGAGAAAAAGAAACCTCTTAGAATTAGGTAAACATCAGCAGGGGATGTAGGAGTGGAATTTGCTGGCTGTATATACAGTGGTACCTCTAGTTACGAACTTAATCCGTTCCATGACTCTGGTTGCA